GAGTGACGTAAGAATATGAAACTTGTATATGACACAAGTACACGACCCAAATCGTTCGCGAGGTAGACGCATAGCATAGAACTGATTCCACTTATGGTTTGTTTGGTTTTGTGGTTGGTATAGCTACATAAAGAGATAGGAGGGGTATTGATGTGAAATCAAACGCCAAGTGTGCTATGCTCAAAAGTTGACTGGTTCCGCCTTTGCTCGCTCGTTCGCTCGCCCGTCCCCTTTGTTTGTTGCTGTTATTGTTATCCAGAAAACATGTCCAAAGACTGCCTTGACCTCCAGCTCTTCCCGTATAGTACAAACCTTTACCTATCCTCCCTAGTATATTTCCCCCGTATCTAAAGAAATATCAAGAGATCACCGCGACTACCAAAAAAAAGACACGCCCCTCACCTCGCCTTCTCCGCGATGAAATACTCAACACTCTCGCCCGCCCAACTAACACTGTTGGTCCCACTCTCATACTTCTCCTCATCAAACAATCCCGCAATACTCTGTTCATTCCTAACCCCCTGCTTGGCACCACCACCGAAGCTCTCCAGACTAACCACCTTGCACCCCTGTTTGAGATCCAAAAACTTCTGCAACAGCAAATTATTCAGCGTCTCGCCAAACACCTTGTTGTTCACCAGCACGACATCCGCTCTTCTCAGCACCTCATCAATCTCCGGGGATTTCAAGAAATCCCCCTCGATAAGCTCGATGCGACCGAGCGTAATGTTCCAGAGTTTACTGCGCGCTTTGAGTTCGGCAGCTTGTTCCGATCCGAGGGAGGCGGCTAGTTTCATCTTCTCGATGCCCCAGGATTCGGCGCCGGTTTGAAGAGCGGATTGTAAGACGACGTTGCCTACACCGGAACCCAGATCGACAAACGTGTGTGCGCTGTTTAGCCCTGTTTGCGCAAAGATTTTGTGGACAAAAGGCGTCAAGAGTTCGCCGTAGGTGGTTTCTTTTCCTTCGACTTTGCGCAGGCGGTGTGCGTGTGGGGAGACGATGCGGTTGTAGGATTGTGCTGTTATGCGCTTGACGAGGCTGAGGGGGATGGCGTGCATGTCATCGAGGATACGTGGTATCGTGCCATTTGCATATTGGTCCTTGATCAACTTATTGAACTTGGCGAGTTCAGCTTTGAAGAGTTCCGGGTCGTCTTTGGTTACGGCGCGCTTTAGGAGGCGGACGGTACCTAGGGCGTCGGAGGAGAGTTCTGCGGCGAGGTCGGGTGGGAGATAGTGCTGGATGATTTCTTCTATGCTGAAGTAGATGTCGTCTAGGGGACTGTATTCCTCGTCTACTTCTTTGCGCGCTACGGCTTCGAATTTCTCGGGGCGTGATAGGCTGGGGTATTGGAGTTCGACAGTGAACTTCTTCTCGCTACTGGGGAAAGCGGATTTGTAGGCTTTTGCGACGTCGTCTTTTGTCATTTCGAAACCGTGTTTTAGTGTGCTCTTCCCCGACACGGCCTTCTTCTTTCTGAAGGCGGCGTTTTCCTGCGCCATCTTCAGCATATCCGACGTGCCGTTTGTGCCGTTTGCAACTCCATTTGATGTCCCGTTCGAAGTCCCGTTCGCCTTGGCCTTTGTGTCTGCCTCCTCTATTCGTATACGTCTCTTCAAGTCCGGCTCGAGTGCGCGGTTCAGACTCATAGGCTCAATGCTATTACTCGCGGGCCGCGTTCTCCGTCGCTTGACGCCCAGCCGGTCACTGTCCTCATCATCGCTGGATTCGTCGCTGCTTGCCCATTGCGGTGTATCGGTGCCCTTGCGCTTGCGAGTGTCGACACGCGACACGGAAACCGACTTGCGCGCGGGTTCCCGTGCGGCAGCTTGCGAGCGCGGGGTGGACTGGTATCGATTCGATGGCGGCCCTGATGCGCTGTGACTGCGTGTGCCGTTGCCTGGCCGTGTGTGTGGTGACGGTGAGGGGTTCGCTGTGGGGGCGGGTGCTTTCTTCACGAGGACGGTTCTCGTTTTGATCTTGGGCTTTCCGGGAGCAAACATGACGGCACGCAGCGCTAGTTAAAGTTTGTAGGTGAAAGCAACGTGGTAGTGCAGAAGAAGATAGGCGATGCAGCGGGCCGGTGCAGGTGAAGGAGTGTATGGCCGGCTGTGAAGAGAAGGACGTCGAAGATCAAAGGGAAGGCAGCAGGCCGGTCAGCCAATACGGAAGGCGTCGCACGCGCAATGGAGAAGATACGTGACCAGGCCGTCCCGTAGCCTGCACGCCACTGCACCTCTAACCGGGATCGTCTCGGTAATCCGTCTTGGCACCTGTCCCTGCTTCTACACTACCAACCTCATCTTACTGACCTCCGCCAAGATTCTCTCGAAAACGCATCGAGTGCGCTGTGCTGGTCCCCAGGGAGTCAGTTTACTAGGATATTTATGTTCTGACGTTCATTGTGCGTTGGCCACAGCTTGTCGTGGTCACGCCACGATGCTGCAGGTGGCTACTGCTGGAATAAACCAATGCAAGGGGTGTCATCACCGCCAGCTGAGACCTGCTGAGATCCCATCACACACCTATTGCGTTCATTCAACACATTGAAGCCTTGGTGCATGAAGACTATCGTCCTCCAGCAACATGAATATAGGAACGCGGAATGTCAAGAACCGCCAGCTAAGCTTCTGTCTTGGTCGCAGGGCTTCACAGCGACCATATAGTTAAGGTAAAATCTTGCTCACACCAATCTTCTATAACAAGACTATCTATTGCGCCATTTTTTATCGCATTGGTGTAAGTTTGCTTGTGATTTGCTGTTTTCTGTTATCGTTGAGCAAAAGCCGAGTATCAAAAGAGTTGGAAGCGGTTGCCCACGCCATGCGCACCGTGGCTGAGGACCTTGTGGTATGCGGAGACTATCCTAATCTTGCCAAGCATCTCCCAGGAATGTTAATAGAGACTGACCTCGATGACGCCCCTGGCATAGGACATACAAGTCCAGGTAGCACATTCAGGTTGGGCTTGCTAGCGGATGCATCGATAGCAATCCGGCGAAAAGGCAGTGCGCTAGAGATATCAGAGCCAGCAGAATGCATACCCCCAACCCGTCTCGCGCCTCGAGCACGACGCCACGCACTAGATGAGAGCACAGAAGAGAGCGTCAAAGGCCTGCTCGGGGTCGCAACCGACCCTCGCATCCCACACGGCCCAACGCATCAGCCATCTACTCAAAAACTTCTAAACACCTTACCCTCATCAATCCGCTCTCGGGCCTCGTCCCTCGACGAACCCCGCCCTCTCCCCTTTCGCTGGCAATTTCCAGTCGGTAAGCGCTACCGCATCGGCGACCCTGCTGCCTTTGCCGCGATGAAGGAACGGAATATCGAATGGTATGTAACAACGGGTGTGCTGGTGGAAGACTGCACTGGTCTAAGGTGGAATGCTGGTACCTACAACTACCTCTTATATTGGCACGTAGAAGGCATGCCGGCGCCTGGAGAGGAAGATGCGGGACAGAAGTGGTTGCAGATAGAACCAGACGTCGTGCGAGACTGGCAAAGAGAGAATTGGGAGGCCGATTTTGGGGAGGCGGTGATGGATGTGGAAGACGAGCCTGCAACTCCCATTGTAGAAGGTCTCGACATCATGAACGAACCATTGTTGCTGCTCAACGGGGCTAGTAGTCTTCCGCTCAAGAGTGCCCTGCGTAGTCAGAACGGGCCGCCATCGCCTTCTCCATCAACTCAATCGGATACTGGTCCTGGGTCACCGAAAAGAGAGAAAAAAGTGAAGTTTCATCGGAAGAAAGGGAAGAGGACGGTACTATTGGAAGTCGACGATGAGGGTGTACCAGTGGAAGAACAAGGTAAGATTATCGAGACGAAAGTGGATGAGACGGACGTCCTGTCCGATAATGAAGGGAGGTCGGCAAATAATGGTTGGGGGCGAATTGAATAGGATGTTTGACGTAGGACTCATGTCCGATCATTGTGTCTTGTTCAACCAGATGTTCTGTCCACGAATACGTGTCTGCCGACTTTCTGTTTGACTGATCAATGTTGCGCCGCATGAGTCAGAAGGGGGTAGAATTTGTCAAAAAGATGATGAATTGTATGAAAGAGCGCAAGGGTTAGAAAGATGAAATCAGTCGCATGCAATGCGTGTCACGAAACTGGTCCGGACGATAATCTCGTTTGTTTTCACGACCTTAGGCTGCCCGAAATCTTTGACATGTGCCCCAAACGGATCCTAAACCATCATGCGTGTGTTGCGGGGCCTTCTATTGCGCTCTAGTACCACAGGGAAGGTAGTGAATCTCTGCCACCGACCGACGAGCTTCATCCATATAGACACTACCTTCTTCGAAACAGCAGTGCTTACTTTGGTTAAAGTCTCCCAAACCCACCATAGACTATCTGGTTGAGTGATGTAGTATGCAACGATTAAAGACAACACAATGACCACGACCGTTATGGGCGCTGCGATGTTTCGTCAGTATTGATTCGCATTAAACTCTGAGCGTACATACTTGCTACGCGCCACAGGTGCCAAGTAGAAGGATTTACTTCGTCCCCCGTGAGCTCTCTGACGTTCTGGCCGAAGTAAGACGTGAAGAATGATAGAGGAAGCTGTTTATCGAAGTCAGATATATGCCACAACTATGAGTTTCGCGATCAGACTTACGAAGATCACGGTAATGATCGTGAATAGCATCACAGCCTTGCCTTGAGTTGTCGCCGCTTGAGCTTCGGCGAGACTTGCTGCATTGGACTTGAGGTCCAGTAGATTAAACAGCTATACGAGTAAGTGTCGCCCGTTTCGGTAGATACAGGATACATTTACCATCGTACGTGTATGCTCCGCCTCACCGCTGATGCTGGAAAACTGAGCGAGCAGAGGGACGATTGTTTCTTTCACTTGATTTTCAGGTGGGTTCAGTACATGTGTATTTAAAGCCTTGATGGAAGACTCTACGACATCTTTTTGAGTATTCAAGAGGTGTTGAATCATCTACAAAATGCCGTTACGTGTTAGTCGTAGGCTGACGTGCATTACAGCTGGAGTGCGTACCTTGAGTTCGTCAATGATGTCTGCAACCTCTAAAACAAGTTTCAGGTCGCTACGATTGTTGAATATAGTTTTGTTATGTCCACCACTGGCGTAGCCCTTTTGGAATATCTGGAAGTATGTTGTCTGAGTAGCAGCCTGTAAAAACAGTCAGTCTATACCGTATTACATGAGATGCTTCCAGTAGTGCTTACCTTTTTGCCAGTAGCCCATCTGTAGATATCGACCACGTCTATTACGCTTCTGTTGACCTGACTAAACATGTAGCCCGCCACTTCCTCGACCAGCAGTAAATACATATCCTCAACCGTTCTCAGTTGCTCTGGATCACGAGACATGCTCTTCGTGATGCTCCGGTAAAGGTCTTCAACACCTAGAAAAGAAGCACTGAAGATTCCGCTGGGGAAACTCGTCATGATGGTCTCTAAAATGCTAGTCAGCCATCAAGGGCAAAGTCAGTAGAACAGATGACAGACTCTCGTCGATGATCCAGCACCAGAATTGGTCGACCATGATCATAGCGCTATCAGTGGCAGCCTTGTCTCTGCCGTTCTGCTTCAACGGTGTTCCAGTCCATTTCGAGATTGTTTGATCTTTATCCCGGTCGCTCGTATCGTCTAAAGCCGGATAGTAGAATTGATCTAGGGTTCTCCTCAGATATTGTGGCTTCTGGATGACCTGAGAAGGCGAAGTTATGGGCCAGGAATCTTCTCCGTCCACTGGGTATGACTTTCCAGGAGTGTTGAGTGAGTCACCTAATTCTTTCTTCGAGAGCTGTTTGCTTTCTCCAGCTGAGGTTTCAGGAGTATTGAGAGAGGCAATTGGTCTTGTCTTTGAGGGTTGTGTCTTTTCTCCAGCTGACGAATCTGTTTTGCTTGGGGTATTTGGACAACTCGACGAATTATACATATCCTTCATGTTCGCATACTCACCGTATTTCATCCAGCTCATATAAGGAAGCTGGCGCTTGTGATTAGCAATCTGAATGCCACCTTCTGCAATTTACGTCAGACTTACGTATACTGTCAGAGGAGGAAGCCCAGGCATCCTCCCTGGAGTACAAGAAGGCTCTAAATGTTTCGCATGTTCAGGCACGATAAGTCTCGCAGGATCATCAGCATCGGGCTTCTGCAGGAAGACTGGACGCATCTTGTATGTCGTGATTTCTGCACCCATCGAAGCGTGTCGATACTTCTGGAAACATCGCTGGTAGGATATTAATGCTGTTATGCTAGAGCTAGGCTATTCAACATACTTACATCCACACATAATAGATCATTTACTGGAACATGTATCCATCGGGCTCCGTGTGTTCCAGAGGGAAGTTCTTTGGAAAAATCAACCGCTTCTCCCTTAACCTCGTATCTCCTGCCAGGTCCTCCATGAATGGTATGAACCCTGGCCAAAAAAAGTCCATCTGTCGGTAAAACGAGTTCAGCGGGAGCTGCCGCGTCTATGTCTACTGACATGACCGATTGAGATAGTACCGAGGTGTGGTAACAATGATCTTTGACAACAGTGCAGGTTTGAGTGGCGGGTGAAATTGTTATAGCGAGCTGACGTCCAGGCTGTATGAATACGCGATCCTGAATTGACCTCTGCTCAGCATATCTCAGCTGAACCGATCAGAAGCCAATAGGGGAGAGACGATAGTCGCCGCATATGCAGCTTCGGCAAAGTCATGCATACCGCTGAACTGAACTTGATCGCAAAGCCAATCATGCCTATGCACAAGAGGGTAGGGGGGCATCAAGACAAATCAAGATGTAGAATAGAGACAACTCAGTGCATCCTTCGGTGTCCAAAAGATGCATCTTCATGCGTCGAGATGCGTATGTGTTACACTTCCAGAATTGCCTGCATGAGCACTGCGGGCCTCAGGAGCGGGGCACCTCCATCTTTACCGAGTCAACACGAATGCAGTCGCGAATCATCGCGATAAGATATCCAGGTTCGTGTAATAGAGATAGAAGTGTGAAGAAACATGTTTGACAGAGTGTTTCCTAGCATTCGCGAAGCAGTATAGCGGCTGCTGATGGTAGACGGGATGACGTATGCAGAGATCCACAACTTCGGGCCGCATCATTCATCCGATGCAACCTCAATGGTATCCTTTACACTACGTACATACAACTAGATCGACACATATCGATACAGTGGTTTAATTTCAGTATTATCCGTGACTGCATCCATCTCAGGCATCATGCAGGCCCTCCCAAACGAGCTCTTGGCCCAGATCGCTTCGCACCTCGAGTCTCAACCACCATCAATCACCAAATTCAACCACGAGCCAAGCGCAGACCTAGCCTATTCGTATACCGAAGTCAACACCAAGCCACTCAAATCCCTCTCCCTTGTTTCATGGCGTTGGAGAAAAGTGGTCCTTCCCATCCTCTTCCGCTTCACACGCATAGCACTGGACAAGGAACCACAATGGGTGCCCATGGACGCTCGCCTTGTCGACAGCATGCAATTGCAGCTCTCTAGTCTAAGCAACCACGAATTCATGCTGTATACAAAGTTGCGCAGCAAGTTCAAAGCAACGACCGGGGAAGCGTTTGCGCCAGCCATGGATGATGTGTTTATCCAGTTATGCCGGATCCAGGAAGGCGATGAATTCTTGAAGACGACACCGTCGAAAGTGTGGTTACCGCATCTTTCCAGGGACTTCAATAATTTTTCGCGGTTTGTCACAGGAAACAAGCTGAAACATCACATCAAGAGCGTGGTGCTGCACACAGACAAGGAATACGACTTGCGCCATGTATCTACCGCTCAAGGACCGTTGGCGCGCGAAGTCACCGACATCTGGAACAGGGTATTCGATGTTTTGGAGCCAGCACGTGTTGTCGTCGCTGCACCACCCAAGACCATGGCCGCGTTGTTGGATTCACATGTGGGTACCAACGACATGTGGGCTTTCGAGATGAAGATGCACTACATTGAGCTTCTTAGCGATCAACCGCCCATAGAGAATAACCAACAAGAACACCGAACAAACGACGCTCCGCTCATTCATCGCCGACCCTGGAACCACTTGGGCTACAACGAAGGCTCCTCGATCACCGCATACAGCACATATGAATTTCACCTAAAGATCGCGCCTAGGATCCTCTTCCTCGTTCTCAGTCGCTTATGCGAGAACCCAGCGTTGTGCAGAGATTTGACTTCATTTAGCTTCGTTGCTGTCTTTCCCCTCTCTTCAACTGTATCGTCTATTGTGGACGCCGTCTATGGAATTCCTTCCATCAAAAAAGTCACACTACAACTTGCGCCTGGTCCTGAGAACGACCTCCTCAGCAATGGCAGTAAGAGGCGCAAAGCTCAGTCGAGCGACTTTTGGTCCGAGTGGAGGGCAGGATATGGGGCGCTTACTAAGATGGAGATATTCTATGATCAAAGTAAAGGGGAAGAGAAGGCGGTGAAGGAGATTGTGAGCAAGGATTGCTATTCGAAGCAACTGGCTGTTGAGGTTGCGGAGGTTATCGGTCATTATTTGGAGACGGCGTCGACTACGTGGAAGAGTGGTGGAGTGGGAAGGTGGATTAAGGTCACGTCGGAGGAAAAAGGGAATTCAAAAGCTGTGCTGAAGTTTGTGGTGGGGGATGAGCCAGAGCAGTTTGCAAAATAAGTGACAGCGCTGTGCGATTCACAAATGTTCGCGCGATATGAATTGTATGGACGGCGAATTGTGTTTGAGGTTTTTGAAATCTGTATTATTATGTTAATATCATAGCCTTGCTGAAGATGGCGGTACACTGTAGAAAACTGCTTGCTGTTCCGTTACCGATCTTGAGTCCTACCTAAGTGGGCTGGCAGGCTTCTCTCATAGTGTTACTAGGTTACATATTCCTGCGCCTCTAGCCACAAGCATATTAAGCCTAGTCGTATGCGGATTCGCGTTTAGTTGTACCGCAACTTCTGCATTTCAGCTTTGCTGCGACACACTCGACATTGTGCTCTCAGCCGCACCTGACCCCTCACAGAAGAAATCCTCTTTAAGTACAACATCCGTGCAACACTTGTGTCATGTCTTATCGAATGCGGTCCTTCTCCATAGCTTGAGGGTCTACTGAACTAGGCGTTATTTGATGATAGCAGCTCGGCGTAATGCTTCAATACACATGCGAGTTGTGGTTCTTATCTCTCCAACTGGGCCGCTAAGTTTTTCGTTGACAGTGGTCAACCATCTGCGCCACGTCGTTTGTACGTTTCGTGGCGTATTTTAGTGAACGACAAGAACTCTAGAACATCGAAGATCGGACTCCGCCATCGACTGCGCACTCTGACAATCAGCTCGACCCAAGGTCATCATCAGCTGAGCTTTTCACGTGTTGATATTCTAACCATTTCCTCACGTAGAGTCAACACAACATATATGCTTCATGTTTCCTAGTGCGAATCTGTAAAAGCACAAGTTGAACTGCTCTTAAAACTGCACATCCATAGCCTTGGTAAGATTTTTTCTTTCGAATCGGAGTTTACCGCACGGAGAATCTCCTGTTGTACATGCTAATGTTATCACCAGTTTTGTTCCATTCATGTCATCCACAAAGCCATCAGCACGCCCAACCACCTCCTCTCGCCCATCGCTTCTCGAAGGGGATAATGATACCGTCTACAACAATCATGCATACGAGTTGAGTACTTACACAGAGGAACGGGCGAATTATCCTCTGTTGTCAAACGGGTTTCAAACCGCTTATAACGATAGCAAATTCGATCACCATCCATCTAGTAACTGCAAGTGGACGATCGGCTGGCTAACGCCTGCCATCATAGTTGGCAGCTTCATCTTGGGTATGCTACTACACAAATACTTTGGGCTATATTGAAGCTAAAATGCTACAAAGCTTTGTTAATGGCAGTGACACACTATATCTATTGCCGAAAGCTTGATCATAAGCGCGTCGCCGTGACCGTGCCACAAAATTGGAATAATTCCATCTCCATGGCCTTCGCTCGCATATTCTCTTTGCTTCTCGCGATTTCGGCATCTCAAGCATTCAACCAACTCCTCTGGTGGTACTTGCGAAGACAGCGCTTGTCAGTTTCGAAGATTGACGCGCTGTTCTCACTCAGCACAGGACCTTTGAAGTTGTATCGGCTTGACATATTGCGGCATGTTCCAGTCCTTTGGATCTTCGGGCTTTTCCTCCCTCTGACCCCCATCATCACCACAATCTTCCCAACTGGTGCGCTGATCGTAGATGTCTATCCCCTTCCTCAAACCAATCCGACAGAGGTCACTACACTGGATATCGACTACCATGGCAACGGATCCGCTGTTGCGTTCTTCCAAAACGCTATGTTTGTTCCTGGCTTTGATGGAGAATATCGGTAAGACTCCACCAACTCTGGCAATCTATCTTGCAAGCCCATGTGACGCTCGGAACTAACTCATGTAAGTTGGCCTGTCGATAGACTCAAGGAAATAGCTAGAACGACACTCTTTCAAGGTGCTTTCCTTACACAGCCCTCACCTTGTGGGCTTAATTGCTCATACACTCTAACGTTTGCGGCCCCAAGCCTGCGATGTGCAGAGGTGACAACGATGCCGAATCTTACATCTGCTACTTTGCCTATAGCACTCGGAAATACATTCGGAAACCTCGAAGACTCTGACCCGACGCACTATAATTATATGGGTGCGCCGATACTATCAAAAGATGCGGTCTTCGGCCAGTCCGCAAACAGCTCATTCGTTTTCGTCATCAGCTACCGGGCTCCGAACGATGACGTTTACCGGTTTATTCAATGCGTGACAATGGACGCTAAGTACAACGCGGAGGTGGAGTACAGGAACGGTTTCCAGAGCATCGATGTAAATGTCACTGATGAAAAGCCTCTGAACGCGTCTCCTCTGGTCGTGAGCTCACTGTTCTACGACCTCATGAATTCTGAGCCACGGACTGATCCGGTCAAGTTCCCAACACAGTATGGAAATAAAACGGAGAACGAAATTCTGGATTTGATGCACGGAGCCCAGGTACTGGCTATGAGCGACGCAATGGTATATTGCCTGTCTGGATACATCCAGCAATACGGTACGTCAACTGATACCATTCCTCCCAAAGAGCTCGCATGGTTCTCTCTTATCCTTGTGATCATGCCTTGAATAGAGGAAGTTGACGCTTGTCGGAACAGGACTTGAAGCTCAGCAAATCGAAGACACAATGATTCATCAAACACCGCTAGCTGTTAATATTCGCAATGACACTAACTACCGGTTCACTGATGTACGCTTCAAATTGTCCCCTGCAGTCATCGAGGAGCTCATGCAAAACACTACACTCTCAATCTTCAACGATGCGACGCACTGGACCCAGACCATGGTCAACTCCATCTCGTACGAAAACAGATACATATTTAAAGAACCAGAACGTCTCATCGGTTCGTACGCAGTGTTGCTGGCTACCTACCTCGTTTTCGCAACTCTTGGACTGGTCGCTCTCGTGCAGAATGGCGTGGCTGCTGACTCTGGTGTCTTCCTTCAAGTACTGTGCGCGACAACGAATGGAAACTCCATTCTCAACAAATTGGCAAAACAGGCATGTCTGGGTGGATCTGTTAATCACCCGCGAGAGCTCTTGGATCTCGAAGTACAGTTTGGCCAGGTCAAGGAAGATAAAGACCTAGCGGCTTTTGGAACTGCCGCCGAGGTAACTGAGCTGAAGAAAGGTGGCAGTTATCGCTAGCTAGTCGACATTTTCGTTACATAGGGCATAGTAGATAAGAACCTAAGGCTGATAAATAGTGGAGGAAACATATCGCTACCCCGGATTCTCGATAACCGTTTCCTCAGATTCTTTCATTTTGCAAGATGTGTGACAGCGCTGTGTCATTCAAACACGTTCGCGCGATATGAGTTATATGGACAGTGGGTTGTGTTTCAGTGTTTGAAAAGCGTATACGGATGGTGATTCGGACATTGACAACACAAACATATCGCTACCCTGAATGTTCGATGACCATTTCCTCAGATTCTTCCATTCCTTCGACTCACGCCTCCTACTCTACGCTCCTCACATCCTTGACCCTCTGTCCACTCCTTTAACAATATCGGGCTACCAAAACATGATCGAACTCACGTTAGCGTCAGCACTCATAACTACAGTCCTTCTCCTTCTACTTCAACAACGACAGCTGCACCGGCAAGCAGTCAGACCCCGAATGGTTGTTCGTGCGCAGCGTCAGAAACGCATACGCACCCGAGCCGAAGAGCAGGAAGAAGATGAGGGTGAATGGGCGATTGGTGCGCATAGACTAGCCAGTCGGGAACGCCAACGTCTTCCACTACCAATCCAAAGGGATGACGGAAGTGGAAGGTTCAGGAGGAGTCGGCTTGTTTTTGGAGATGACGTGTCAGAATCTCAGATCGCCAGACGTGTTCATGAAAATGGCAGGGTAGAGATGCAGGGGGGTATAGATGTAGACTGCACAACCGAAGTGCCATCAACAACTTTCCAGCATACAGATACCCGACGTCCAGTTCCGAGGCCACGCATGACCATTATTGATAGCGACACCACCATCAAGGTCCCATTGGATATGCAAGAGACAAGGCAAGAAAACAGCCAGGATGTCAGCCAGCAGCGCGCCCTACGCGTGCGCTTCGACGAAGCATTGAGGATGCATAGTTTTGGCGGAAGTCAATACATAGGTCGAGTGATGGACAAGGAGTATGCAGTTCTTCAATCGCCTATGGATGAGAAAGATCAAGAAGGAGGAGTGGACAAGCGTAATGTTTAGCGTATTTGCAAAGTTCATTCTATCTTGGGTATATCGTTGCTGTACGTCGCTATAATGTAATTGCCAAAAATGCCGTTCTCGATTGTCGTATCATGTATCATATGCCACTTACCATTAAGAGCCCAAACATCGTTCTTGCAGACCATCCATATCATACCAGGCTGAGCCGATTCACAAACGCACCAAAAATGCGAACCCTCCTCTTTCATGCAAAAAAAAGGAAAAAAACATTACCTTATTGCTCCTTCACGTCACACAAAGAATCTCCTGCCAACCCACGGTCCACCTCACACTCCCCATGATAATCACCAACAACCCCAACCCTGCACCCACACTCGCGACCGCATACAAATAAGCAGCCCTTCTCTTCAAAGTATCAATCTCCACGATCCAAGTAGACACCGTCGTAAGACAACCACAGAACCCATCCATGACCCCCTGCAACACACTACACCCAACCACACTCGCACCCACACGCCCCGTACTAGCCAACGGAACGTGCTGAAGATCATACGCCATACCCAAGACCGCCGTACCAAAGACATTAACGGTAAAAGTACCAAGCGGAAACGACGAGTTGATAGGATTCAGCACCAAGGAGACATAATAACGGAGCAGGCATCCCGCGGGCGCAAAGACGAGGGCGAAGAGGGCCTGGGAGCGCCATACCAAGTGCGGCGGTAAGCACACCATGATGATGGCGCCGAACCATGTGCCCCAGCCCAGCACTACGAAGAGCGGATCCACGACGCGGCGTGTGAGCCGGAAGGGCAAGGTAGGCGTTATCCGGTCCAGGGCTAGCGCGAGGTGAGCTCCCATGTGGAGCGCACAGTAGCACGTTGAGATTGTTATGATGATGGTGGCGAGTATGGCCATGACGCTGTATCCGCCATTCCGCGATACAGTCGTAGTTGCAGAAGGGATGGCTGTATTCGGGGGATAAGGATGATTAATCGGACTCTTCAAGTCGTTTGATAGCGAGAGGAAGATGTCGCGGATGAAAGACGAGAAGCTGGTGAAAGAGCCGCAGAAGCCTGTTGCAAGGCCAATGTACATGGGTATTGTCTTCTTGACTTTGCCATGCCGGGGTTTGTCGCGCGTGTGGTCGGCGGGGTAGTCGGATGGCTCTGGCAGTTTTTCTCCTTGTCTGCTATCGCGGTGTTGATGTTGACCCCATTCTGCGGCGAACAAACGCCGGTCTTCGGATAGGAAACCCATGATGAAGGTTCCCGCTACGTTGGCCCATAGTTCTGAGAAGATGACTGGTGCGCCGGGGTAGAAGGTCAGGGCTTGTAGACCCAGACGAGCTAGCGTACCCCATATTGAGAAGAAGATCAGGTAGGAGACCGTGTAGAGTTCTGTAGCCAACCTCGATGCTTTTTGTGCGCTGGGGGTGCGCTTGGAACGTAGGTAGTACTCTGCGTGTGGGTCGTAGTTTTGAGCATGGTTGTGGTTGTCGTGCTCTTGGACAGGCGACATACTGGGTAAGGCGGTAATGTCTAATTGAGAGCCTGTTGCTGCTCGTCCTAGCGGGAAAGAGGGTCTTCTCGATCGCTGTTGCTGCCGTGTTTGGGACGCGGGTCTGCTCCCATACTCTGGGTTTGAATGCCTGCTCTGCCCTCGCGTCCTGGGTGTTCGCAAAGGCTGCGGGAGGTTGGGCGACTGTGCGTTTTCGTTGTAGAGGTGCAGCCAGGACTCTGGGGCCAAAAGGTCTTCGCCTGATTTCACTTGTCCACCTCCAGCTCGCGAGGATACTGTGCTGAGCGAGTTGTGCTTTCCGGAGTGTCGTTCCCGTCGCTTCACGCTGCTATATGATGAATCGCGTTGGCGCGAGGTATATGGCACATTGGGCGCGGGCGAAGCGGTCGAGGTCGGGGAGTCAGGTACTGGTTCGCTGTCCGCACGCTCCGAAGTGACTTTTTCCAGATCGAGGTTGAAGTCGTGCAGACGGCGCAGGTCGCTGCGTGTTCGGGACCGTGGTTGTGGGCGGTGCGCTGACTCTTCGGAAACGGTAGACGAACGCAGCGACGAGCGCTGGTTGTTGAAATGCGACTCGCGTTTCGAAGGGATGTCTTCCTGGTCGACGGGGACAGTTGCAGAGTTGGCCATAGCTGCCATTGCCATCCCGTGTGCCTGCAGATTGAATGTGCTATGACGCGCGGTACCGAGATTGACACCTTTCCATGTATAAGCCCGAAGTACTTCAGCTCGACGCCGCGTGCAACTTTTAGTAATGCGCCATGCTCGCTTCTATGATGACGAGAAGGACGTGGCAGTCCCCAGGAACGGGACTGTACACGTATATCAGCCCATGGTGCCTCCCTCTTCCTCCCTCCTGCGCCAAATAAGAAAAGGTCAAATCTCAAGTAACCTTTGCTTATGCAAAGCCATGCGACGAATGACAGGCGATCCCATTTTCTCCGATTGGCGCATGGGACCCTGGTCAAGTGTCATGCAGTTGCCGAGGGCGTGACAAGGTTTCAGGTCACGGAGCTGCCCGACGCCGTGGCATCTGTTATCGCCGGCATGTGGGGAGCTTAGACGTGACCACGCGCTTGTCTCATGCACCTTCTTGAACGGACAAGTAAATCTAGTTGAGCACCACTATATATTCCAGAATACCAAGAACGCTTCTCAAATACTATCTACGTTTACTCGTTAATTCATATTCAATATGTCTGGCATCAACCTCCCCAAGAACGCTCACGTCTCGACACACCCATGTCTCCAGGCGAAGCTCTCACAGCTGCGATCGGCGAGCACAGGGTCCAAAGATGCGCAAACGCTGGTGCATGAATTGGCTCTCATGGTCGGTTATGAAGCTCTGGCCGCAGGCTTAAAGGCACAACCGGCGGGCACAGTACGTCCATCTTTCTCATTCATCCGGTCACATAACATGACCAAGTGGGGTGGTATTCCGAGCCACATATCCATAAAAGGATTCCATATTCCCAAAACCATAACGGTCCCCCAGACAATAGCCATACCAATCAATGCTATACCACAACACCCACTAACTCCATCTAGGACAAATCCCCCCTCGGCTACGAATATACCACAACCACCACCTCCCCCGCACCCACCTCCATATCCCTCGTCCCCATCCTCCGCTCAGGACTCTCCATGGTCCCAGCCCTCTCCTCCCTCCTCCCCACCCCCGTCCCAATCCACCACCTCGGTCTCTACCGCGAAAAGTCCACCCTCCAACCCGTAGAATACTACAACAACCTACCCTACCACACCCCGCACAACACCGCCGCGGGCTCAACATCTCCCCAGCCCGAGCTGGCCATCATCGTAGACCCCATCATCGCTACGGGTGCGACGGCACAAGCGGCAATCGACACGTTGAAGGACTGGGGCGTCAAGAGGATCATCGTCGTGAGCATATTGGCGACGGAGGAGGGGCTGCAGAAGGCGTGTGGAGAGTGGGAAGAGGGTGTTGAGGTGTGGGTTGGTGGGTGTGACAAGGGGGTTGATGACAAGGGCATGATTAAGCCTGGTCTGGGAGATATTGGAGATAGGCTGTTTATGACATTGGGAAAATAGGTTATGATACCATGAGTGTTAACGTGAAATGGAAAACGCGTTTTGTCATGCAAAGAAAAAAAATCGGCTTTCTGCATGGTTTTGCAGGTGCTTTGGTTACGACTCTTGCGTTTGGCTTCTTGCACTTTGGTGTTGTTGCAGGTTGGCGAAAATCAGTGACTTGCTTCTATGCATTGTTACTCATGTCTAACTCAAGCCACCACTTTAGGTTCCTGTCTCTCATAATGGGAAAACTTCCTTTGCAGGATGCAATATAACATCGCATCCATATGCCAACGTCGACGATTCATACCGAAGTATCTCAATCTTATTCACCGCTTCTGTCCGTGGACACTTTTCAGGAAACGTCAATTCCCCAACCCCTTCCCAGACCTCAGCCGGCTTGATTTCAAAATCGCTAGGCACCAGGTCCTTGATCGATGCCTTTGCGCCCGCAACGGGTGATGGAATAACCCTCAAACTCAAGAATGGCTTGTCAAGTCTTGGAGGAGGGCTTTGCTTGGCCTTGGCCTCGAAATTATATTGCAAAAATGTCTGACCAACTGGCCGTTCAACATGCCCTGTAGTTTTGGATGTGGTGCTCGGTGTTAGAGAGAGACGACCTAGTCGTTTTGGAAAGCCATTCTGCTCTCTGCCAGCCAGGAGGGCAGCCTCAAGGTCTACAATTAGAGATAGGCAGAAGTCGTAGGATTTACCCTGGTATTTCGCCTCCACTGTATGGATAAACTCGGTGAATGGGCCAACAGGGGCGATGCCGTATTTTAGTTGTGTGGCGGTTACTAATGGTTCCTCTTCTACTTCGAGCACGTCTGGGATGAGGCGGCCGATGCTGGCGAAGGATGTTCGGTACCGGATTACCAGGATGGTGACGTCGGAAAATATAGGTACGTCGTTGCTGTATGGAGGGTCATGCTGCGGGACGGGGTTGTTGCCAACGGGAAGCTGTCCAAAAGGCATGTTTTCTCAAGGAAACTCAAATTCAGACTTTTCTAAGAGAGCGAGATGGTAGGAAAGATATCAGCGAGGTTGGATATAGAGTATGCGTCAAGTTTCGTTTGCTTTCCTATCACATCGCAAGTGAGTAGTAACAGACCACGGATGAAATGCTGACAAAGTACGATCTCTATTTAGTGATCACACTGCCTTATAGGCTATATGGTGATTGAGCCTCCGCCAATCATGCGGTGGAGCAAGGACAATATTGGGGGAAATGGGATTTGGCTATGGGTCTATTGCCGGACGTTGGGTTTATTGGCGAGAAGTGGGTTCACCGTCTTACAAAGATCATGCTGTACTATTGCGAGCAAGGCCCGTAGATGAGATAAAGGCTGTCGTGAGTTACGCGGCCTGCGCTGAAGTAGTTCACCGTGCGCCTTTGTTGCTGACGCTGGTGCTGGCCATGTTAGCGTCACTGCCGTCCGGAGCTGGCATGAAACCTTAGGACGCGCCATCTCTTTTAATAGGTTTAGAGTTTGACTTAAAATTAAGCTTAACATTAGTTACATAGATTACGTTATTAGCAGATCTAGCGGTAGTAAACCTAGAAAAGGACGCTTCCATCGGCCTGTTGTAGCTTTCTTGGCCATAGTACGGTACGGGAAGCAGATGTTGTACTTCCAGCGCTCGCTTACAGGCAGCCTTGCAGGACTTGCAGCAGTGCCTGCCTATCTAAGCTATAGCGGGGTACCAGCTCTCGGTTCTGCGCTTCTGCCTTCGTCACCTACACATAGTTACACACTGTCAAAAACTTATGGTCGTTCGCGTCGCGTCATGATTTAACTTCCCAGGGTCCAGGCAAAGCTATTTCAGACCGACTACGGCCATGTGTTCATATACCAAGATCCATGAATGGCAAACGCGCCTTGCGCTCATCAAACCAAGCGAGGATCCGTCGGCCTGCCTTGAACTCAGCCTTGTTGTCGTCGACTTGGTGGACTTGAACAACGGAGCTGTCATCAACCACGACACACTCGTCACATACGACGCGCTTTCGTACGCGTGGGGAACGGCGTCGCCTACTGCCAAATGTATCTGCGACGGCAATGCGATATTATTACGTGATAACCTCGACTCAGCACTCAAATACCTTCGAAAGCCACAAGATGAGCGATATGCCTGGATCGACTTCCTTTGCATCAACCAAAATGACTTGATTGAAAAAGCCGTTCAGATACCCCGGATGAAAAACATCTACTCCAAAGCGGGCACTGTGGTTGTATGGCTTGGCGAATCATTAGCGGTTGCGAGTATTTCAAGAGAATGTCAGAAGACTTGTGGACCCGATGTCGATATCCTGGCTTGCTCTAAACACGGCAAAGAATTATGGAAGTCTATCCTGGATTATGCTTGGTTCAGACGAACTTGGGTCCGCCAGGAGGTTTTCGCCGCCGAAAAGTTGAGCGTCTGTTCCCCATATTTTTCTACATCTTGGGAATTTTTCAAGGACGCTCTACGCTCTGTAAGGCTACCGAATAGTTCTCGGAGGCCTTTCAGTCACGACGCTATTCAAAACTTTACTTCACTCAACAAGCTTTATTCGTCGCGACGATTAGAGCTGCTCGACTTGCTGGAACAAGGGAAAGGCTTTCAGGCTTCAGTGCAACATGACCACATCTTCTCGGTTCTAGGAATGGCATCCACACCTAAACATAGTACGAAAGGAATGATCCCCGTTACTTATGATAAGAGCTACCATGAGGTCTGTGGCGACGTCACCAAATACATAATACGGACAACTAAGAGCATCAACATACTGCGTTTGTGCACTTGGCAGAAAGATAGATCATATGCTTTCGATTGGCCGAAGGTTGAATGGTCGCCCCCAAAGCACGACGATTTTATGTTACGGTGTCATGATTTAGAGGGCAAGTTTGATATCACGAAGCCCATAAACATAGCTCGCGATTTGAGACCATCAAAGAACACAGATTTTCCTTGGATATCAGATCAATTAGTCTCTAAGAGATCTCTTGTGCTATATGGAAGGGTATGGGGAACATTGGCTGCCCAGGTTGACGATGTCTCGATTTCCGTCCTCGAAAATATGGTCACTACTCGAAAAGTGTCCGTACCAGCATACTCAATAGACTATGATGCGGATAAAAACGCCGGAACGCAACCACCTTTCTCAGAAGATCTTGACTTTTACCGCGAGTTTGTCATTTCTAAAAGTAGCGGAGTGGGTCGCATCTTTACCAAATTTGAAGCAGATAACGTCGAAAAAGACGTGCTTTCGTGGAGATGCCATGGACGTGCTAGTGTGGGTGATATATTTGTGTCTCTGGAACCAGGCCCGCAGAACGTTATTCTTCGGAAATGCTCCAGATCATGCGATATGTTTGAAGTTGTGGGGTGGCATGTTCCAATAATGACCGGCCTTCACAGCAACGACCGTGTAAACGTATGGCGGCATTTTGACTTCCATGAATATGTGTCGGGGAAACAGGCAGGGAATATGCTCGGACCACGTGAGCAGTTTGAGATCCGATGAGTCTTCCATAGAGTAGAATCAATAAGCTATCGTCAAGTACATGGTGCAGCTAAGCAACTAGCTATTCAAACATCTGATCGTCATGTTGATGGAGTCCAATGCATTCGCTTTCGTTATTCAACGTGCGAAAGCTTCTCTTTCGTATTGCAAAAATATGCCGTCTCCTCTCCTACGGTGATCACTACATAAAGAAGTTCACTTGAAGGGGGCATGAAGGGGGACATGCTGTTCCAATTCTCAGCATCCCATTGATACCCATAGGTGGAACGATCAGCGGTCTTGACACTTCGTTCGAAACGTCGCTTCCGCACCACACGGTAAAAGCGAATGACAGCCTACTGTTTGACATCCTGGGTGCGTTTTGAGTGCCATGTGCAGGTTGGATGAGTGATCAGAAATGTGCTAGAGGACGACCGGAGTTTTTTGTGTCCTTGAGGAACATTTGCGCCAGAGAGGCTAGAATCTGGCTGTCCATACTGGTGCGGAGTATGCTGCGAGAAGTCTGATGCAACCGCTAGGTGAGTGCCGCTGCCGGTATGTGTTGATGTAGAAGCCCGGATGCCGTCGAAAGTACTGAAGCCACGCTGATCGATTTCAGAACCCGTGGCCATCCGATCCCAGGGCTTCATTTCAACCACGATACCGTGATGACCATGATGCACACATTACTTTAGCTGCTTCTCATCAGCTGCCCACTCTCTGTGACTATCTCTTCAAAGCAAGACTACAGCTCTTTCTTAAGCTCAAAGTACAATTCCCAATGATTCTTGCACCCTGGATTAAATGCACTTGCACATTGTGTACATTTGCTTCCGCTCTCCATGTATCCGGAAATAGTCAGGATGTGCTTGCACTGTCCGCAAAGTACCGCGCCCTCATCTCTTCGCGCAAGAGGCCAGACAAAAGACATGTGTGGTTCGCAGGCGTCATGACAGCTGATGCAGGCGTAGAACTTTTGACAGCAGAAGTGCTTGATGGCGATGATGTCGAGTGGGGAGTGCCAGTGAGCGCATTGCGTCAGCGGTGTCACAGAGATGCCGTGAACGATTGGAGCTTCTTGGGTATTGGATGTCACGATAGTTTCGGGCATGCGGAGCTGTTCATCGGAGCTCTTGGGCTTGGGCTGTCCACCGGAGCTTTTGGGCTTGGGGCCCTGCCGGGTTCCGCGCATCTGTTGTTTCTGCTTCCTGAACTTCTCACGGCGGTCAGCAAGGTCGCCGTAACGCTCACGATCGTGAAGGAGCTTGTAACCGGTGCTGGGGTGTATATCAAAGTCTTTAAAGATGTCGCGCGCCGTTCGCTCGCCCTTGCGCTCAAAAGCTTCAAAGAACCGCACCCGACGAGGTGTATCCATATGTTTCTTTACCGTATGGCCGGGAGGTTGTCGGCGAGGCATTCGCGCGCAAAACTATGGGGTTTACAGGTGGTTGTGTTGTTCCGGTTGTCCAGCTGGAGCTTGCATGGGATGATGTCGGCCGGCTGTGAGGCTGAAAGCTAAGGAGCAATAGCATGCGGGACGATCACGTTAGCGACCCCACTCTTTCATCATCGCTTCGTCCTGCAACATAACGAAGCAGGTGGTATTGATGGTGCTGTAACATGCCCTTTGACCAATGTACGAAGTTGAAGAATACGATAGATATCACCAGCGTTCTCAAGTACTACGCGCGGCTTCCGTATCTACCCGACACCCTGATGGCGAGCTGTGCTGAATGTATAACGCATCATCGCGATAGTTGCCAATAAAAAGAAGAAATTTCAACACGTCTCCATTGTTCCATAGACAGCTCACCCAAGCCCGAGTTTTGCCGGGTGCTGTAACAGCTCAGAATGATCCGACGTCACTAGCCCCGCGGTAACCCCACTAAAGCTGTAAGAAGTGCTGCTGCTCAACAACAACAGCTTCTTCATCTCAATTCCACATTTCAATCCAACTTGACACCTTTGATACCCCTACATACCACCTTTCTATCCAAAAAATCTCAACACAACCGCAAACATGGGTCGCCAATTCTTCGTCGGAGGTAAGCAATTCACTCTGGGAGCGGCATTGAGACAAAACTAACGGCAATCAGGTAACTTCAAGATGTTCGTAACTTCACAAGCCGTGAGTCGCTCAATGAAAGAGAGAGACTGACGAAACTAAGGAACGGCTCTATTAAGAGCATCACCGACATCGTTGAGAATCTGAACAAGGCCAAGCTCGACCCCAACACAGGTACGTTGAAACGCATCTTAGCGACCCAAGAAGGCGCAAGATCCATCACATTAGCAAAGCACGAAAAACTGACCCTCAACCAGAGGTCGTTATCGCACCACCAGCCCTCTACCTCCTCCTCACACGCGAGCACCTCCGCAAGGGCCTCGAGGTCGCAGCGCAAAACATCTTCGACAAGCCCAACGGAGCCTTTACCGGCGAGATCTCGGCTGAGCAACTCAAGGACAGCGGCATCACCTGGACCTTGGTCGGACACTCGGAGCGTCGCCAGATCCTCCAGGAGAACGACGACTTCATTGCCAACAAGACAAAGACAGCCACCGACAACGGTCTTGGCGTGATTCTGTGCTGCGGCGAGAGCCTGGAGCAGCGTGAGGCGGGCGAGACCGTCAGCGTTGTTACCAAGCAGCTCAAGGCTGTTGCGGACAAGGTCAAGGACTGGAGCAAGATTGTCGTTGCTTACGAGCCCATCTGGTGCGTTCACTCTTTCCAACTACGATGCATCTGCAGTCACTAACGGATAACAGGGCCATTGGTACCGGCAAGGTCGCAACCACAGAGCAAGCACAGGAGGTCCACGCCGCCCTCCGCGAGTGGCTCAAGAAGGAGGTCTCAGCCGAGGCTTCCGAGAAGACCCGTATCCTGTACGGTGGCAGTGTCTCGGAGAAGAACTGCAACGAGCTTGCTAAGCAGGCTGACATTGACGGTTTCCTCGTCGGTGGTGCCAGCTTGAAGCCTGCCTTTGTTGACATCATCAACGCTAACCAGGCATGAATTCCGCGAAGTGATGGCGCTCGTCTATAGATGATTTGAGCGTGCTTCGGCAACGATCTTATGAAAGACTTGAGCTGGCTATAAAAAAAACAAAATTATGTAGAGTCAGCATAATGAACGTTATGAAGATCAACGGTGTTGGTTCCAAGCATGTCCGTGAAGTTAGCTTATTTGATACATTGTTTGTACAATCGTTATGTGCATTCCAAATGGTATATGTCGCTCGTATGTCTTTGAGCATACTCGGACCGTGTCAGCTTCTGCGACAATAATCTCACAGAAGCATCACACATCTCGTCATCCAACAACACCGGCCCTATGCCAACCGCTGGACCTGCATTGTGTATATCATCCATAGCCATCCACCCTCCATGCTCATATCTCGATCTTGCTTCCGTGGAACGGACTCCAAATACCCCTAACGCTCTCATTCAAACTCTTCACTGGTCGTCCATCCAGTTTCCTGTTCTTCTCCCCTGTGCTGTTCCTCAGCATCTCTGCCTTTTCCCTCACGCCCTCGTTTTGCAGGTTCTTCACACATATTGACCGTTGGGCGCCGTTGAGGTAGTTTGCAATGATTACGGGGTGCTTGCGTGGCCGTGGGCTGACGGAGATTTCAATCTGAGGGTTGCGCTTGGCGAACGCGGGCAGGGAGGCTTTGAGGAAGGCGTTCATGCCCTTGGACGACCCCCACCAGTTGCAGTAGTGGAAGGTGAGGGACTTGCATGGGAGGACAAAGGCTCCTACGCCGTTCTGCCGTGGTAATCAGCACCGGGGAGTGGCGAATGAAGGGGATACGTAGGTTTGCGAAAACATACCTGAGCCTTTGCGACCGTCTTGATAGCCGAGACAGGCATGTTGGCGTGCAATGGCGGTAATGACGGCGGAGCGGTCACCAGTCTCGACGTCCCCAAAAGTTTGGCGTTCATCTCACGTGCGGCAGTCGCAGCCTAGGTTTGCGCTAGTGCGAACTCCGCGTCGCAGCTTCCTCGA